AAAAAAAAACAACCCTCCAATGCCTTATCATCTCTTAGGAAAAGCCAAAAATCCTTAAAACAGCTTTTAACATCCTATGTGATCTTTCATTCTTGTTATCTCTATGACATCATCTCCTACTACTCTATCCCTCTTCCTTTGCTCCACCCAGTCTCCTTGGTGTTTTGCCACCAGACTCATTATCATATCAGAAAAACTGCCCTTGGTCTTCCCTCTACCTGAGGCATTATTTCCTCATACAGCTGCATAATTTGCTTCCTCATCTTTTTCCTATTGCTCAAATGATCACTTCCTCAGTGAGGCCTTTGCTGCCCATCTACCTAAGAATGTAACCGCCATTTCCCACTGCAAAATCCCTGGCTTTATTTTTCTACTCTCAATCTAGCAAATCATAAGTTTTGCTATCTTTTTCTTTCTTGTCTTCTACCCTGGTCCCCCAGAAAGTAAGCTCCAGGTGTGCAGAAGTTTTTGTCAGTTTTGTTCACTACCACATCTGCAGCCTCTAGAAGGATACATAGTTAAGTATTCCATAATATTCTATAAATATTCAAGAGTTCCAGGGCACCTGGGTGAAAGCATCTGCCTTTGGCTCAGGTCATGATGTGAGGGTCCTGGGATTAAACCCTGCATCGGGCTCCCTGTTCAACGGGGAGTCTGTTTCTCCCTCTCCCTCTCCTCCCCAACCCCGCTCATGCTCATTCACTTTCTCTCAAACAAATAAATAAAAATCTTTAAAAATAAAAAACATGAGTTCCATAAATATTCAAAATATATTCAAAAATATACATCCACTAATAAGTGGATGTATATTTTTATAACCATATATATACACAAAAGAATATTCTCTCTTTTTCAAGCACCCATGGGAGAATTTTTTATATGTTCTAAGCACACTATAGATCACAAAGAAAACCTTAATAAATTCAAAAAATAAATAATACAAGCCAAAGTTCCCTAGAACAATGAAATGAAACTAGAAATTGTTAACAAAGAACAAAACACTTCAGAATAACAGCCAACAGTATGTTTTAACATAAACCAGATATTAAACTAAACAAGAAAGCTATGGGATTGGAAACCGATATCCCCATTTTACAGATAAGGATGCTGAAGGTAAGAGGAATGAAGGTTTTTACTCAAGATAACATAGTAAATAAGTGGTAGAGCTGGATTCAACCCCAGGGACTCTGGAGACCAAGCTCTTGACTAATATACTCTTAAAAACTCCTGGGTCAAAGAAAAAATCACTGTAATTTAGGGTATACTACAATAAGAATACAACATGTGGGGCGGCCTGGGTGGCTCAGTTGGTTTAGTATCCAACTCTTGATTTCGGCTCAGGCCATGATCTCAGGGTTGGTGGGACTGAGCCCCACATCAGGCTCTGCGCTCAACAGGGAGTCTGCTGGAGATTCTCTCTCCCTTTACCCCTACCCCTACCCCTCCCCCTGCTCGCAGGCTTTCTCTAAAATAAATAAATCTTTTTTTTTTTTTAAAGGAACACAACATTTAAAAAGCTATAAAATTGGGGCACCTGGGTGGCTCAGTCAGTTGAGAGTCCGACTCTTGATTTTGGCTCGGGTCATGATCTCAGGGTCTTGAGATCAAGCCCCAGGTGGGGCTCTATGCTCAGCACAGAGTCTGCTTCAGATTCTCTCTCTCCCCCTTGCTCTCCCCCAACCCCACACACACTTTCTAAATAAATAAACAAATCTTTTTAAAAAATTTTTAAAATAAATAAAAAGCTGTAAAATTAAGCCAATACTACTCAGGAAAATTCATTGTTTTTTCAAATAAAAAATTTTTATCAAATAAAAAATAGAAAAATAATTAGAGAAAGCATTCAACTTAGAGGAGAAAAATAATAAAATAAATCTAAACAGGGAGAAAAAAACAATTTAAAAGGCAAAACAAAGGGGGCGCCTGGCTGGCTCAATTGATAGAGCCTGCCACTCTTTGTTATCAGGGTTGTAGGTTCAAGCCCCAAATTAAGTATAGAGATTACTCAAAAATAAAATCTTTAAAAAAACAAATTCCAAATTCCACATTCCTAGCATTTCAAGAGATGCAAATCAAAAGGAAAAAGAGGGGCGTTGGGTGGCTCAGTAAGTTGAGTGTCCAACTCTTGATTTTGGCTCAGGTCATGATCTCAGAGTTGTGAGATCAGCTCTGAGCTCAATAAGGAGTCTACTTAAGATTCTCTCCCTTTCCCTCTAGCCACCCACCCCCCCCCGACAGCCAGCCCCACTCATGCGCACACCTGTGTGTGCTTTATTTCTCTCAAAAAAAAAAAAGAGAGAGAGAGAGAGATTCCAATTTAAAAAAATTAAAAATAAAAGGAAAATTAATTAGTGAATTAGGAAAGAAAAAATAGTATAAGAGATTAAATTCCAAGCACACATTCTTTAGCAGCATAAAAATTACAAAACTATTAAGAGGCATTTAAAAAACTTTACTATGTAAAGTTTCAAACATATTTAAAATAGAAAAAATTATATAATGAAACTGATATATCCATCATACAGCTATAGTAATCAATACATGGCTAATCTTACTTCATTTATACCCTTAGCAGCTTAACATTTTTATTTTTTTTTTAAGATTTATTTATTTGAGAGAAAGAGAGAGAAAGTGTGTGGCGGGCAGAGGCAAAGGGAGAGGGAGAGAAAGTCTCAAGCAGACCTGCACTGAGCATGAGCCCAATGCCAGGCCCTACCTCACAACCCTGAGATCATGACCTGAGCCAAAATCAAGAGTTAGGTGCCCAACCAACTGTGCCACCCAGACACCCCTTAACATTTTTCAATACTAGAGTAGATATTTTAAGTGTCACTTATTTCATTATGTTCTACCTCAAAGAAAGGACTGTCACTCTGTCATTCTTTCTCTTTCTCTTCCTCCCTCTATCACATAGGTGTAAGGTCTTACAAATCTCTAAACATATAGTAAGGCTCTTTGGAGTAAGTACTCAATACACATTTGCCACTGGTGATAATTTATATAAAACATAGCACACCCGTACTTTGTATGCATAATGCCATAAATATCAAGACAAGAGACAATAAATAATAACCTACTTGAACTTTCCTGAACTTCCTTGTCATCCACATCGGAATTATTCTTTCCAGATGTTAAATAATTCTTGAGCCTGAAAGGTCCACTTTAAGATAAAAAAGTAAACCATCAAATTTGTGCTTTTATAATACATATATCTAATTATCTATCCTAATGGTCATTTTTCTCCCAAAAACTGCCAAAGGTTTCCTTCTTATAAAACCAACAGTGATGTTATAGATTACCAAAAATATATTTACATGCTACATAAAATAAAGAATCTATAATTTAATCCTATAACTGTCAAACAGGACAAATACTGAATTTTATAACCTTTTAAATTTCATGAATCAATTTTAAATTTTAAGTCAACTCAAGTAACACCCCTGATAAAAATCAAATAGTATTATAAAAAATATTAGAAATAAATCAGCTTGTCTTAATTTAAAAATACAGTCAAAAACAAGTAGAATTTAAAATATAGTCCAGAAATTGCTCAGAGATAATTCAGCTTATCCCAGTCCTAGATTCCTTTCCTTCTATTATGAACCCAGAATAGGCCTAGTAGTCATAACCCACCAAATAGTAAAGAAATCTTAGCCATCACTTAAAAGTCTTGAGAATGTTATAATTTACCATTTTTTCATTTTAAAAGAGTATATGACTTCAGATATTATAAGAATAGGTTAATTTGGTTTGTTCACTGAGTGTACCTGTTTTAAACACATACCCACAAATTCTTAAACACTCCTCTTTTCAAGAGAGAAAGCCTAATCCCCCATTCCTTGAACGTGGTCTGGATTTAATGACCTGTTTCTAACAAACAGAATGAAGTGGAAGTGACAGTATGCAACTTCAGATACTAGGTCATTAAAAGGGAATTTTAACCTCCATCATAGTCACACTTTCTCTTGGATCACTTGCTTTGTAAAAAGCCAGCTGCCATACTGAACAGCCCTATGGAGAGGGCCACACGACAAGGAAGGCCTGCAGCTAACAACCATGGGAGCAAACTATCTTATAAGTAGATCCTCCAGTCACAGTTAAGCCTTCAAAGGACTGCAAACCAGGTAGACATTTTGAATGCTACACCTCATTAGAACCCCTGAGTAAGAACTAGCCAGCTAACCCAGACTTCTGGGCCACAGAAACTATGAAACCATAGATGTTTGCAAGTGACTATTAAAGTTTGGGGTAATCTGTTACACAGCAATGAGTGACTAATATAATAAGTAAATCCAATTATCCTTAGAACACATGCATACCTTCCTTCCAAAACCGAAGTCTTAGGCTCTCCAGAATCCAAGTTAGATTCTGCTGGTGTCTTGCATGTAAATCCCCTGATCTGAGACTTCAGATGAACATTTTGTCCAGTCATATTATCTTGATCCTTTGTGCTTCTTGTACCTCTGTGAAAATGTAAAGTATAAAATTATTTTCATTTCTCCATAAAATATTTCTTCTAGAAACAATACACAATGAGTAGGCCATATAATACTGGCTGTAACAAATATTAGATAACCCTGTTCAGGTCCTAGGACTTACAACTAGCCTAGGAAGAAAACTTGATTCTAGGACCTACTAAGAAAAATTCTGAAATGGTACAGACTTGGCCTAAGATGGAGGTGATGACAGGGGGGAACACAAGGAGACATTACTTCAGGCAGCATATAATGTATATTACACACTTAATCTATCATTTTTTTGAAAATCCACAAACAACTGAAATTGTTTTCTTTGACACCCCTAGTCAGCCTATTGAGGAACAATAGGGTGCTCAGAGGGACTCTGGTTCATCTCTTCAGTAGCTAACAGCTAATTAATTTATCTCCAATATATCCAAATAGGATACATTATTCCCAGATTGTATAATTTTTCTCTTCTCTCCCATTTCTCTTGTAAGTGCTATGTTTTGTTTCTTGACTCAGTCTATCAGCCTACTCTTATCATATGTGAGAAAATAATTTGCATGCAAAATAAAGAATAAAAAATAAAGAACATGCAGACTTTGGTCCTATGATCACAGTCTAAAGAAATAAAAGGGATTATAAGAGAATACTATGAACAATTATACATCAACAAATTAGAAACCTAGATGAAATGGATAAATTCCTAAAGACACACAAATTACCAAAACTGATTCAAGAAGAAATAATCTCAAAAGACCTGTAACAAGAGAATGAATCAGTAATCAAAAAACTACCCAGAAAGAAAACCCCAGGCCCAAATGGTTTCACTGCTGAATTCTTCCAAGCATTCAAATAATACAAATTCTTTACAAACTCTCAAAAAACAGAAGAGAACTTCTCAACTCACTTTATGAGGCCAAGATTATCTTGATATCAAAACTGGACAAAGACATCACAAGAAAACTAAACCAAAAAACTCAACATACTAGCAAAAGAAATCTAACAATGTGTAAACAGAATTATACATACATCATGACCAAATGGGATTTATACCAGAGATGCAGTTTGGTCTACCATCCAAAAACCAATTAATATAATATAAAAAAAAAAAAAAAATCACATCATCGTACCAGTAGATGCAAAAAAAAAAGCAAGCATTTAACAAAATCCAACACCTCTTTATGATAAAAACGCTCAACAAACTAGGACTAGAAGAGAACTGCCACAACCTGATAAAAGGGTATATATGAAAAACCTACACCTAGCAGTATACTAAATGGTGAAAGACTAGACGTTTTCCTCCTAAAATTTAGGAACCAGACAAGGAAACCTGCTGTTACCACTTCTATTAAACACTGTACCAAAGATTTTAGCCAGAGCAATTAGGCAATATAAAACAAATAAATAATAGATTGGAAAGGAAGGGTAAAACTATCTCTATTCAAAAATGACACTATTTTTGTACTCAGAAAATCCTATGAAGTACACTAAAAAGCTAGTAAATGACACTAATAAATGACTTCAGCAAGGTTGCAGAATACAAGAACAAATATAAAAACCAACTGTATTTCTGTACACTTGCAATGAACATCCAAAAATAAAATTTAAAAAGCAATTCTATTCACAATAGCATCAAAACAAATAAAAGGCTTAGGAATGAATTTAACAAAAGAAGTGTAAAACTTATGCTCTGAAAACATTGTTGTAATAAGTTAAAGATCTCAATAGATGGAAAAACATCCCATGTTTCTGGATCAATAGATTTACTGTTAAAATAGCAATATCCCCCAAATTGATATACAGATTCAATGCAATCCCTATCAGTTTGTAGAAATCGACATGCTGATTCTAAAATTTATATGGAACTGCAAGGAACCCAGAATAGTCAAAAGAATCCTGAAAAGGAAGAATAAAAAGGACTCATACCTCTTGATCTCAAACCTTATCACAGCAATGGTAATCATGAAAGTACAGTACTGGACCAAGAACTGATATACAGATCAAGAGAAAAAAGTTGAGAATCCAGAAGGAAACTCATATACATATGGTCAACTAATTTTCAATAATGGTGTCAAGACCGTTCAATGGGGAAAAAATAGTATTTTCAATAAACACTTACTGGGACAATTGGATAATCATATGGAAAAGTTGAACCCTTACTTCCCAGAATATACAAAAATTAACTCAAAATGGATGAAAGACCTAAATACAAGAGAGTTAAAACTATAAAACTCTTAGAAGAAAAGATAGGGACAAATCTTCATGAACTTGGATTCTTAGATATGACATCAACAGTATAAGAAATAATAGACTGGACTTTATCAAAATTAAAAACCTTTGTGCTTCGGGGCTCCTGGGTGGCTCAGTTGGTTAAGCGACTGCCTTCGGCTCAGGGCATGATCCTGGAGTCCCGGGATCGAGTCCCATGTCGGGCTCCCTGCTCAGCGGGGAGTCTGTTTCTCCCTCTGACCCTCTTCCCTCTCATGCTCTCTATCTCTCATTCTCTCTTTCTCTCTCAAATAAATAAATAAAATCTTTAAAAAAAAAAAAAACCTTTGTGCTTCAAAGGACATCATTAAAAAGCAAAAAAGACAACCCACAGATAGGAGAAAATATTTGCAAATCCCTTATTTGACAAGGAACTTGTATCCAAAATATATAAAGACCTCTAACAACACAATTAAAAAAAAAAAAAAGACAACCCAACTAAAAATAGGCTGAAAAGATCTTTTTCTAATGATATGCAAATGACCAATAAACACATGAAAAGATGCTCAACATCACTAGTCATCTAGGAAATGCAAATGAAAACCACAATGAGATACCACTTTCATACCAACTAGGATGGCTAGCATCAAAGTGAGATAATAACAACTGTTGGCAAGGATGTAGAGATACTGGAACCCTCACACACTGCTCACAGAAATGTAAAATGGTCAGATGCTTTGGAAAACAGTCTTGCAGTTCCTCAAACAATTTAAATATAGAGTTACCACATGGCTCAGCAATTCCACTCCTAGGTGTATGTCCAAGAGAAATGAAAACATATGTCCACATAGAAACCTGTACACAAATGTTTATACCAGCATTATTCAAAAGAGCCAAAGGTGGAAACAACCCAAATGTCCATCAATGAATGAACAGATAAACAAAACACGGTATACCATAAAATAAAATATTATTTAATCATAAAAAGTAATGAAGTACTACTGATACATGCTACAACATGAAACTTGAAAATATCCAAACAGAAGGCACCTGGGTGGCCCAGTCAGTTAAGTGTCTGACTCTTGATCTCAGCTCAGGTCTTGATCTCAGGATCATGAGTTCAAACCCAGGGGGGTGGAGGGAGGGCAGTGAATATCCAAACAGAAAGAAGCCAGTACAAAAAACTCATACTATAGGATTTTATTCAGGTGAAAATCCAAAATGTAAAATCTATACAAACAAAAAGTATATTAGTGGTTGCTTAGAGCAGTGGAAGAGGGAATGGGAAATGCTAACTAAAGGGTACTGGCTTCTTCGTGAAGTGCTGAAAATGCTCTAAAATTGACTACGTTGATGGTTTGCACCTATCTGTGAATGTACTATAAAACCATTAAATTGTACGCATTTCATGAGTGAATTGTATGATATGTGAAGTACCCTTCATAAAACTTTTAAAACAGAAATCTACAGTAATGAGCTTCTGTTCCATCTGGCTTCTAGAAATAATATAGAAATTAAGTGATTACATAAATTTGAATGAAAGAAACTCAGTAGAGACTGCTTACACTTTAAGTGCTCTAGCTCTTAAAGTTTGGTTTATTTTGTTCCCAACAGGTTTTAATAGGGAAAAAGGAAGTTAGCTTGTAGTTTAATTAATGCTCATGGTTATAAAGAAGCAAAAAATATCACTTTTAAACAAGTTAAAAGTTTCAACATCTGTTAGATACATGCAGAGAGGAGAAGTAACTCATGTAACATCTCTAATCAGGAAGATGCCTTAAAACTTTTTTTAAAAAAAGGAAGACTCCTTAAGCAAATTAATTTACTGATTTTGGCTTAAATACTATTATCCATCTCCTCCCTGATTTCAACACGTGTGTGTGCATGCGCGCGTGCGCGTGTGTGGTTTGTGTCACATAATATTCTATCTAGTATTGAAAAGGTTTTTAATTTATTTTCTCCCAAAAAACCTAGTAAGTTTTAATTCCTTAAATTCCTCTACTGGTTCTTCATAGTGAAAAATTATCAAGAGACTAAATACATTGTACACCTGAAAATATAACACGATGTTAATTATACTTGAAGAAAAGGAACAGTAGCATCTGGAAATAAATAAAAATTATTATCATTTAAAAAAATAACAGCAAAAGTGGAAACCACCCAAATGCTCACCCTTTAATGAATGGATAAAAAGTGGTATATTATTTGCAATAAAAAGGAATGAAGTACAAAAAAAAGAGAAACTAAATATTTTCATATAACCATACAAGGTGTTAACTATAAATTCAGTCAGCCACTTGATTTCTTTTTATATACTGAGAGCTAAAAATGGTTTGTGTATTTTCAAAGGTTATGTCTTAAATGATTATCTAACTATAGACATAACTGTTTCCATTTTGCCTGTTGGCCAGCAAAGCCTAAAATAATTACTATCTGGCCCTTTAAGAAAAGTTTGCCAACCTCCACTTCTTATAAAGGAATAAAAATAAATCATTTATCAACATGAAAAATCTCAAAAATGAACTGTGGAAAAAAAGCAAGTCACAGAAGGATGTATATACTAATAAAACCATTTTTATAAACTTTTAAAACCATACCACATGCTGTTCATATATACATGCACACGTAGGAAAAAGTATAAAAATATCCATGAGAATGGTAACTACCAAATTCAGTATCACTAACAAGGGAGAAGAATGGGCTCAGCAAAGGTACACATGGGATTTCAACGGTCACTATAATATTTTATTTCTTAAGTGAGGTCATCGGGGAATCAGGTGTTACTTTTTTTTTTTTTGTAAACCTGAAATAATTTTGTAAACCTGGAAAATGGTATGGAAATGGTGTGAAAAAGTTAAAAGAGAATGTGTATGGAATTTTTTTCTGTACTACAATGAAATACACTGCTATATTTTAGGACACTATAATTTACTCCCATAAATCCCTAACACCTTGCAGTTTCTCACACATAGTATGTATTATTTGTTGAGTAAATGAAAGAATACATACTATGTCAATAAGCAAAAATACGCAAGAACAACGCCTAACTCACTAGGTTGTTAGGACTGATGAAAATTCATTGAAAGCTCCTAGCAAACACCTGGCACATATAAGCACTCAAAGTATGTTAACTATTATCACCTTAGGGGGAGAAGTATTAAGATGTATTTCTAATTATTGAAATCACATTAACCTCACTTAAAAGGAAGCAAATCAAACTATACACTAAAAATGACTAAAGGGTGCATGGTAGCTAGGCTCAGTTGGTTAAGCATCTGCTTTTGGCTCAGGCCATGATCCCAGGGTCCAGGGACTGAGGTCTGCCTTGGGCTCCCTGCTTCTCCCTCCCCTTTGTCACTCCCCCTTGCTCCTGCACACTCTCTCTCACACTTTCTTCTCTCTCTCTCTCAAATAAATAAAATCCATTTTTTTAAAAATGACTAAGATGGTTAATGATACTGAAATTAAAAAATAAAATACATTTTTAAAAATGACTAAAATGGTAAATTTTATGTTTTTACCACTTTAAAAAAAAAAAAAACACTCACATCCCGTGTACTATATATTATTCCCCATTTTAATATAAGGAAACAAATTCAGATTACTACTTTGCCCTGGGTGTGGATTTACAACCAGGTTTGCCAGACTGCAGAGCCCTTTATGCTAAGTTTGTCCATAAATGATTAAACGACACTGACAAACTATTAAATGCTGAATGGCAAAAATAACTATATTGTATACCTAACAGACATTACCCAGAATGATCAAGATTTTTCTTCTTAGCCAGGTCTTCCTCATCATTTTCCAATGACTCATTCTGGGAACAACCGGAAATTTCATCATGGTCCATAATTCCTCCAGAATCTTTAGTATTTAAAAACTCCTGTGCTCTTGAGCTGCCCAAAGTAGTTCTCTTCTGCCCTTTAAACGGAATGGTTTTTTCCTCAATATTCTTAGAGGATTGGTTTGATTTTTCAGCAGGTTTTTGTTTACTGTTGTGACACACTGACAATTCATTTCTTCTTGAAGAATTGCTATAAACAAGACCTGAAGGATTCAATGATAACCTAAAGTTAGCATAATGTTTATCCAGATCAGCGGGCTCACTGAAATACCAATATTATTTATTTACATGTAAATACACATAGACAGACAGACAGACACACACACACACACACACACACCCCAATCTCATAGGCTGTTTGTTTTCAAATTAAAGTCATAAACTATGCAGCTTTTCAACCCCTTTACATGTATCACAGTTTCCAAAACCGCCCTGTGTCTGCCCATTCCTCTTTTGGCCATCCTCAAGATCCCGTCATTTCCCAAGCTTCCAGCTTCAGCTTCTCTATCTGCTTTGAGGGACCCTTCTACTCTTAACTTTAATTATTATGTAGATACTGGTATCATAATATTCACCTACCACTCTCCCCCAAATCTGACCCTCTGGTTTTAGTTCCTATCTTAATGAAAAGTCTAACTATTTACCCAGATACCTACATCAGAAATCTGAGTCATCCAAAACTCCTATCCCTATCCACAATCAAGTCCCCAAATTCTGTCATTTCTACATTCTTAATACCTCTCAAACCCACTTCTTTCAAGCTCTCCTGCCTATCACTGGACCCTCATCATTTCTTAACTGGATTATTAAAGCACCTCTTAGTCTCCCTTTCTCTAGCCTTGCTGTTCCTCAATCCATTCTTCACACTGCTTCAAGAATCATCTTAAGAAAACACAGCCTGGATCACGACAACCTTGCTAAAATCTTTTAGTGATTATCTGTAACTTAAGGATTAAGTCCAAATATTTTCAATAATTTATTTCTACACCTATAGTATTTACTTCATTAATCAAAATGTTCAACATTCTCCGCAAATAAACAAACCAAAAAAAGCCAGCAATACTGAACTACCTGCATTTCTCTAAAGCACTGGTTCTTTTTTTTTTTCAAAGTGAATTTTTTTTTATTATGTTATGTTAATCGCCATACATTACAACATTAGTTTTTAATGTAGTGTTCCATGATTCATTGTTTGCGTATAACACCCAGTGCTCCATTCAGTACATGCCCTCTTGTTGGTCCTTAGACAAGCAGGATCAGCATCACTTGAGAATTTGTTTCAAATGCAAATTCTCAGGCTAGGCTTCAGACCTACTACATCAGAAGATCTGAGTAGAGCCCAATAATCTGTGTTTTAACAAGCCCTCCAAATAACTCTGATAAAACAATTTTTAAAAGGTTAAACTCTCAGCTCCATATCTCTGTACATGCTACTCTACTGGAAACATTTCATCCTTTCTCCTCACCCCACCCAGTCACTCAGTTGATTCCTAATTCATCCTTCAGGAAGCTTTCCCTAATTCCCATGCCTAAATTAAGTAGCTCTCTCTCAACCCTTTAATAATATTTATCATCCATCTAACTGTTTACTTATCTTTCTCTTCCAGCAGACTGACAATTCCTTGAGACCAAGATTGCTCTTTTACCTGTCTTTATATTCCCAACGCCTAACAGCAGGGGCAGGACTGTGGTGAAGCAATTTTTTCCAGTCTACTGAGATACAATTGACACATAACATTTATAAGTCTAGGGTACACGATGTAATAATTTTATATATGTATATATTGCAAAATAAATACCAAAGAGTAAATCTTAAAAGTTCCCATCATAAAAAAAAAAAAATTTAACTAGTGTGGGAAATTTAAGAAGGTGCTCACTCTCAGAGAGTCTTACAAGTACTGAACCTGAACTCACACAAACCTGAGACCAAGTGCCTCCTCAAATTTCTCATTCTGCTACTCACTTGCACCACTGTAGTACTGGCCCTGCCTAACACCATTCCTGCCTCACGGTGGACACTCCATAAACGTTTCTCAACGTAAAAGCAGTAGGGCCACACATCTACTATAGGCAGCTTGGCTGCTTATTAGGGAAACAAACATTACATCAACAGTCAGGAAACCTGGGTTCTACTGCTTTCCAGTTCTAGCACAAAGGTCTATGACCTTAAGTTGCAAGCCATGTTGCTTTTTTGAGCTTCAGACTTTCTTTTTCTAGCAGATGAAGGATTGTTTTAACCATGAGATCTATAAGCATTCCTCCATTTTTGTGACTCCCTACTTGATCAGAAACTCAACATCTGTTTCAAGACTGCTACATAAGTCTTTTTTGGTAAGTCTCAGAGTTCTAGAAAACTTATCCAGGCTTTGTAAGATTTTTATTTACCTATATATTTACACACTCATCTGCTATAGTAGTTTCAAGCACCTGGGGCAGAAAGGTGAGTTCCTCAGAGCAATAACAGGAGTAGATAATGTTTTATATACTAACTACATGCCACTTACTCCTTATCATGAGGTAGAAGGCTTTGTAATCATGTTACAAAATAAGAAACTGAAGAAAATAACTTACCCAAAGTGGAGAAATCATAATTTAAACTCAGATCTAAGTCCAAAATCCAAGAAAGGCTGCAAAAGAATATTTCTTTCTACTATCAATCAAGGATCCCAGTGACTCAAAAATTCATAGCAACAAGGCCTCAGATGTAGTGCCATATTTGTTCTACTCTCATTTGTTGATCTAAATACCATAGAGTCAACAGTATGATTTTTTTTCATGATTACTTCCTTTAAAAGATCAAAGATGTTTCCAAAACAATAAATGTTTCACATCGTACAGAAAAGAGCTGGCATAGCAGACCTAAGAATGTTATCCTTAGAAAGATCTGCTTGCAAAGTTAGCTCTTGGCTAGTATTTGGGAACTTTAATTTCAGAGGGTTCCCATCATTTCCTAACTGATAAATGTGGTTTAGTGTGCCTAAACTGCTTTATAAAAAAATACAATTTATGTCAAATACTTGCTTTCCTTCAGGAAGTCTGGAATTTTAGTACATACTAGGTGGAGGGTGCCTAGGTGACCACCTCCAGTAAAAATCTTGGGCACTAAATCTCTAATGAGCTTCCCAAGTAGGTAACATTTCACTCATCTATCATTAGTATTCATTGCCAAAAGAACTAAGTGCCTCTGGTATGAATCCATTGAGAGAGGACTCCTTCAGACTTTGCCCATGTACTTTTTCTCTGATTTTGCTTTGTATCCTCTTGCTGTAAGGAAACTTCAGGACACCATTATCACTTCTCTCACTACACTTTCATCTGATGGCCTTGCTTACTACTTCATCGAGAAAACAAAAAAGTCAGAAGAGTACATATTCATCTTCTCACCATCAACTCTACCAACCTACTTCCATCTGTGTACTGCATCACAGTCCCCTCCTTACCTATTCAAGGACTGTGATCCTATATTTACACTCTAACTTTCTAGGAGGTTGGGTTTTTTTAAATTTTTTTTAATTTTTTATATTCAAGAGTCTTTCTTAAGTTTTTATTTAAATTCCAGTTAGTAGGGGTACCTGGGTGGCTCAGTCAGTTAAGCATCTGCCTTCAGCTCAGGTCATGATCCCAGGGTGCTGGGATAGAGCCCCACTTGGGGCTCCCTGCTCAGCAGGGAACCTGCTTCTCTCTCTCCCTCCCCCCCTGCTTGTGCTCTCTTTCGCTATCTCTCTCTCTCTCTCAAATAAATAAATGGAATCTTTAAAAAAAAATTCCAGTTAGTTAATATACAGTATAATATTAGTTCAATATATCAAGTATACAATATAGTGATTCAACACTCCATACAACACCCGGTGCTCATCACAACCGGTGTACTCCTTAATCCCCATCACCTATTTAACCTTTCCCCCTACCCACTTCCTTCTGGTAACCATCAGTTTGTTTTCTATAGTTAAATGTCTGTTTCTTGGTTTGCCTATCTCTTTTTTTTCCCCTTTGCTCATTTGTTTTGTTTAAATTCCACATATGAGTGAAGTCATATGGTATTTGTCTTTCTGATATATTTCGCTTAGCATAATACTCTCTAGTTCCATCCATGTCATTGCAGATGGCAAGATTTTATTTTTTATGGGTGAGTAATATTCTGTTGTGTGGGTGTGTGGGTGTGTGTGTGTGTGTGTGTGTATGTATACACACCACATCTTCTTTATACATTCATCTGTCAATGGACACTTGGGCTGTTTCCATAATTTGGCTACTGTAGATAATGCTGCTGTAAACATCAGGGTGTATGTATCCCTTTGAATTAGTATTTCTATATAATTTGGGTAAATACCTAGTAGTGTAATTGCTGGATCACAGCTATTTTTAACTTCTTGAGGAACGTCCATAGTTCTCCACACTGACTGCACCAGTTTGCATTCCCACCAACAGTACCAGAGGGTTCTCCCTTCTCCACATTCTATCAGGTTATTTTATTTTTATTTTTTTTTATTTTTATTTTTTTAAAGATTTTATTTATTTATTTGACAGAAACAGAGACAGCAAGAGACACAGCGAAAGCAGGAACATAAGCAGGGGGAGTGGGAGAGGGAGAAACAGGCTTCCTGCCGGGCAGGGAGCCCGATGTGGGACTCGATCCCAGGACCCTGGGATCATGACCTGAGCTGAAGGCAGACACTTAACGACTGAGCCACCCAGGTGCCCACTATCAGGTTATTTTAAATGAGCAGATAAACCGACGTAACAGCTTGTATATTATAAAAAAAAAAAAAAGACCCTCCCTTGACCCCACATCTCTAATGCTTCCTTATCTTACTATCTCTCCTTCCTCACTTCCTACTCTTGAAACCACTTCAATCAGGCCTTTGATTTGATCATTCCACAGAAATCATTTCTATCAAGTGACCAACAACCTCCACATGCCAAAATTATATTGTCAGTTCTTTTTTTTTTTTTTTTAAGATTTTATTTATTTATTCATGAGAGACAGAGAGAGAGAGAGAGAGAGGCAGAGGGAGAAGCAGGCTCCCAAGGAGCAGGGAGCCCGATGCGGGACTCAATCCCAGGACCCTGGGATCATGACCTGAGCCGAAGGCAGACGCTTAACCATCTGAGCCACCCAGGCGCCCAATATTGTCAGTTCTTAACTCTCATCTACTTCAAGCCATCAGCAGTATTTAACAGTTCATCACTCAATCCTTAAAATGCTTTCATTACTTTGCTTCCATGACCCTAAGTTCTCTTCAGTTTCCTTTAACCTTACTAACTGCAACTATTTAGTTTCTTTTGGTGGATCCTCCTTTCCCTCTTGACTCCTGGCATTGGAAGTCTCCCAGGACTCAATCCTTGGCTTGCTTTCTTCTCTAGGTTCAGTCCATCACTAGGAATTTCAAGCAGTCCTAAAGTTTTAAATATCATCTATATATTGGTAAGTCCCTAATTATATGTCCTCCCAAATCTTTCCCCCTAACTTTAAACTCATTTACCAGGCTATTTCCTCAATGTATCTACGTTGATACCTAATTAATTTATTACAACCTGAAATCTTGACATCCTTCCCAAATCTGCTTTAATACTTTCCCTCATTCAGTAAAGAGTAGAGCTCCGTTATTCTATTTGTTCAGGAAAAAAAAAAAAAAAAATCTGAGTCATCCTAGACTTCTGGTTCTCTCTTACTCCAATGTGTTAGTACCAAATCCAACCACTTTTCATCTCTTCCCTCCAACAATCTCTTAACTAGTATCCATGCTCTAGTTTCCTCTCTATGTAGCAGTAAAAATAATTCTTTTAGAGGTGCCTGGGTGGCTCAGTCGGTTGGGCATCTGCCTTTGGCTCAGGTCATGATCCCGGAGTCCCAGGATCTAGCCCTGCATCAGGCTCCCTGCTCGACGGGGAGTCTGCTTCTCCCTCTGACCCTCACCCCACTCGTATACTTTCTCTCTCTCTCTCAAATAATAAATAAATAAAAATTTCTTTAAAAGTCTCTTAATTTAAAAAAAAAAGAATAATTCTTTTAAAAGAGGACTCAATCAAGTCACTTCATTGCTTAAAATCTTCTAGTAGCTTCCCAATACACTTCATCTAAACTGTCTATCACAGCCTCCCTCTCTGACTTCATCTCTCCTGGCGTAGTCATCTTTAGCCATACTAGCCTTCTTGAATTCCTCAAACATGCCAAGTATGTTCCATCAGCACCTTTACAAATACTGTTCCCTTGGTCTGAAATGTTACACACCAAGTCATTTGTATGGTTCCCCTCTTCATTTTCCTGAGATATATGCTCTGAAAGACCAAAATGGACTCTTATTACTACCTTTTACAAAAACATCATTCACTTCTATCTACTTATCCACCCCACTTCTACCTTCTTATCCACCCCACTTCTACCTCTACTTCCCATCTCTATCCTTTATCAGCTTTATTTTTTTTTATTATGTTATGTTTATCACCATACATTACATCATTAGTTTTTGATGTAGTGTTCCATGATTCATTGTTTGCGTATAACACCCAGTGCTCCATTCAGTACATGCCCTCTTTAATACCCATCACCAGGCTAATTTTTCTTTATTGCCCATCACTGCATGAATTATACACTTATATTGCTGGTCTTCCTCCACTCAAATGTTAAATCTCATGAGAGTAGGAGTTTGTTTTTCCACAGCTATATCCCTATATCTAGAATACAATATATAGTAGAGCCCAATATCTTCACACTTAACTGACTTAATATTTCTATTAATGACTCAATTTAATTTTGTCCTCATTAGGTTTTCTGTGGAAAATGGGAGTATAAATCAAACATAAAGCCTCTTATAGAATTACTTTTTGGAGCTCTCAATGAACATCATTTAAATAAAATACTTACTCTGTTCTGACTTTACCACCCACCAATTAGATGGACGCCTGGAAATTCTTCGACTTCTTGTAATAGTTGAAGTCACTTCATCAGGTACAAGTTTATTCTTCTTGGACCCACTGGGAAAATGCTTCTTTTTATATTTTTTATCTTTTTTCTGAGTCTCTGTATAAGGAACATTGGTGCTATTTTTCTTGCTTCCTATAAAGAAAACCATAAAAAACAATTTACAATCTATGGAACCAGAGTTTTCAGAAAATCACAATAGGTTAAAAAAAAAAAAACCCTCTCAATTATAGGAATATCTTAAATTTATTCTGTGGACTTCTTTCATCTCTTTTTTTTTTTAAGTCAAATGTTCTCAATAAGATCTGTTTCTGTCAGTTAAATATAAACTTTTCACATTGCTTGATAACTAACATACTCCTAAGCCAAAAAAATGAGTACACTCTGAAAAGGAAAAATATATGGCTTCTTCCAACTACTTACCAATGTTCCAAGTTAAAAAAAAAAGGTAACCACTGCTTTTCTGTTTTGAATTAAATCATTATTTGTCAATCTAATTTTTGAAAGAGGAGATTCAAATAATGGAAAACCATTATTTTTGTTAATAGAATTTAAAAAAGAAAAGAGAATGAAAAGAAATAATGAATATGGCAAGCAATACATAGCTAATGAAAAGGTTTGGTGTCAGTAGTAACCTCATTTTACTACCACGACAACTGGGTAAGAAAAGAATCTAACAGAAGAGTGAAATCAATTCTAGTTTGTTTTTTGTGGCTGACAACCAGAAGAAGAAAAAATCAGGGAAATACAAGATATTTCAATATAATTACAGTTAAGAGGGGCACAATCACCAAAATGGAAAATTTCTTTTTCTCAGAAATAGGTTTAAAATATTAGGTGTTAGTAGACAGAATGCAGAATTTTCTTGATCATCAAATAAATCAAGAAACCATCATTTATTAAGCAACTGAGACAAAGACTTCTGGTCCAAAGAAGGAATTAAACTCATATCAAGTAGGAAATATTCATGGAGTAAACAAACTACATAAAAGTATGTAAGACCAATAGAGCAGGTATTATATATAACCACATAATTAAATATGAAACTATACAGAACTTTTTAAAAAGATGAAAGGAGAACATAATACAGGTTGAAACCTGGAAATATGGGAAATACAAGACCAGACTTCACTAAGAAGGTAAATTTGGGGAAATAATTCAGATGGAGATGATATCTAAAGCAAAGGAATAATTTTCTCAAGGAATGAATATAAAGGAAGAGCAAAGGGCAAACTATTAAATGGGGAATATGGAAAGAATCACCAAAATTTATAGATGAAATGAGGAAAAGTAATCAATAAAGACAGAAGGAGGGGCGCCTGGGTGGCTGATGGTTAAGCATCTGCCTTCGGCTCAGGTCATGATCCAACCTAGGGTCCTGGGATCGAGTCCCGCATCGGGCTCCCTGCTCCTTGGGAGCCTGCTTCTCCCTCTGCCTCTCTCTCTCTCTGTCTTTCATGAATAAATAAATTAAAAAAATCTTAAAAAAAATAATAAAGACAGAAGGAAATCAAACAAAAAAAAGGAGAATCAAAATATTATAGCATCAGAAATTAGCTAGTGTTTAATTAGGCTATAATGAAAACTACATCTTGTCATCTTTACTATATGTAGCATTTAACATTGTGTTTGGCACATAGGCTTGAAATATGAATTCAGGGTGAAGCCAATGTTACAGTAGGCAATGAAATTGGCAAAAGTACTTCCCAGCATGAGCTATTTTAGATAGGATCCACATTTTTGATACACCAAGTATGCTTCACAGATCAGCTGTATCAGCATCACCTGGAAGAGACTGTTTAGAAATACAGAATTTGGGGGCACCTAGGTGGCTCAGTTGGTTAAACATCCAACTCTGGATTTCAGATTAGGTCATGCTCTCAGATCATGAGCTCAAACCCAGTGTCAGGCCCTGTGCTAAGCAGGGAGTCTGCTTGTCCCTCCCCCTCTCTCTGCTTGCCCTATTTCTCTCTCTTCCAAATAATCTTTAAAAAAAAAAAAAAAAAGAAAGAAAGAATGAATGAATCTTGGGTCCCACCTGAGACCTACTAAGCTGGTTTATGAATCAAAATGTTAAGAAAATCCTCAGGGAATTCAAATGCATATGCAAGTTTGAAAAGCACTGTTCTGCTGTTTTAGTCAATCTCCCAGGTAAATTTGATTGAGGAGTAGAGAGACAGAAAACGAACCAAATTATGTCAAGATCCCTTACAGCAGTAAAACTCTCTGAGTCCAGTCTGAGAATAAGTTACAGGATTCGGCAACTCTGAATTTAAGATAAAGAGAATGATTTATGCTTATAAAAGGAGTAAAAGAAAAACATTAGCCTTAATGATCTGAACCAGACACAAGAAAAGTTGATGAAAAAGGAAAGAATATACTTTACCAATATTGTGCTTAATATGGGAATTAACCAATATGCTAGAATTGATGAGAATGGGAGGTATTTGGAGAGCCACCACAGATAGCAAATCTTGACAATAAAGAACATATTTTAGGGAATGGATATAGAAAATAATAAAGGGTCAGTTTATAAAACACTAAAGCAAGGAGAACTTTCAACATGGTTGCCACTGATTAGTGGGTTTAAGGAACTACCTGTACAACTGCAAGAATCCTCACCAGTGAGCATCATTTTCAGGCCTTCTATATGTTCACCCTCCTTTCTCTTCTCCAACTCCTTTTCTTCTATTTCCCCCTTTTTTTCTTTCCCTTATCAAAAGTATCCTCAGGAACTGTTTTTTTTAAATAAAGATTTTATTTATTTATTTGAGAGAGAGAAAACAGGGGGGGTCAGCAGAGGGAGGGGGAGAATCAGACTCCCCACTGAGCAAGGAGCTCGACAATGTGGGGCTCAATCCCAGGACCCCCCAGGATCATGACCTGAGCTGAAGGCAGATGCTTAACTGACTAAGCCACCCAGGCACCCCCTCAGGAACTGTCTTAACAAGTGAGAGGTGCTCATGATGACAGAAATTGCCCATGTTCATGAATAAACTTCAAAAAAAAAAAAAATCAATGTGAACAATGATTTAGGGGAAAAGAATCTCAGGAAGAAAATGCTATCCTGAAAGACTTATTCAGACCGTGACACAGAAAAAGAATACCAAAGTCGAAAACAAACCAATTATTTCAGAAACTAATTCCAGATCAGGGAAAATCAGAAACTGAATGACAAACAATTTAGAAAACTAATAAACAAGAACACACACAGAAGATACAACTGATATATGAAACAGATGGTAACGTGAAGAGAGCTGACTTAGAACTACGGGAACATATGTCCTAAGTAGGGCAATGGCCAGAAAAACAGGTGACTTAGAAGTGATACATTTCTTTAACCACAGGAAATTTTGCATATTTACATGTAAAGGAGTATCTTTCCGAAGGTTGGATATGTTTTAATAAACACAGCAAAATTATTCATCCAAAATAGAGTAATACTTCTGTCATTAATAATAATGTATTGGGGCGCCTGGGTGGCTCAGTCGTTAAGCGTCTGCCTTCGGCTCAGGTCATGATCCCAGGGTCCTGGGATCGAGCCCC